AGGGGCATTGTCGTGAGCAAGAAAAAACTTTGAGGTCAAGTCTTGAGGCATGTTCGTGAGGCCCGCGAGCACTGTGGATTGATTGTTTACAGGGCCGGCGGTTGTGTCAACATATTCCCTGCTGTGCGCAGGGCTACCATCCCTCACAAAAAAACCATACAACAAATGCACCGTGCGACTAAATCTGGATCATGCGCGGCCAACCCGCGGTCACTGTCAACTGGCTTTTGACAGGGACGGTGGGGGTGGTGGCGTAATGATGGGCATTGGTTTTCGACAAGGATGGTGTGGGCCGACATGTTTCCCGATGTGTGCGGTCACGTGCGCAGGCGCACCTGACATACTCTGCACGTGCACCGAACGTGGCGCACCTGGCGCGGCTGGAGTATGCAGCACACCTGGCGCACGTGGAACGCGTGGCGCATCTGGTGCACCAGACGTGCCTGGCACGCTCGGCTGTCCATCCAAAGACGACCGCTGAACATGCTCAGGCTCGGGCATGACTTGTGTTGGGAGGGCGGGTGGGAGTGAGCTAGACGGCTTGCGGGCAGGTGGGTAGCTTGACCCCTCCCCCTACCCCCTACACTGGGCCTGGACGGGGGGTCCCCCGAGGGGTTGGGGCGTCCAAGATGGCTCAAGATGGCCCCAAGAGCGCCTCGGAGAGCCCAAGATGAGCTCCAAGATGGCTCAAGATATCCCAAGATGCCTCAACATGGCCACCAAGATGCTCCAAGAGGCCCCAAGACGGCTCCAAGACGGCTCCAAATGGCCAAAGAGCTCCCCAAGGAGCCCCCGAAGAGGCCACAATCCGTCCAAAACGCCAGGAGATCCATGTGGTTTGCTTTCTCGCCTTTTCGCTCTCGATGGCCTTCCAAGGCCTAAAGATGGCTCCAGGAGGGCCCAAGAGGATCCCAAGAGGAGCCCAAGAGAGCCCCAAGACGGCCCCAAGAGCGCCTAAAAGCGCTCCAAGAGCGCCCCAAGAGGGACCCACATAGGCGATTTTAGGCACTCTAGAATGGCGGCGGTAGTTGGGGAACTTCCTTTTTTTAACGATGTCCTCTAAGATGGCCCGAAGAGCGCTCCCAAGGCACCCAAGAGCGCCCCAAGTGGGCCCCAAGAGGCGCCCAGACGGCCCCAAAGGCGCCCAAGATGCCTCCAAAAGGCTCCCAAGAGGCCCCCAAGAGGCTTCAAGAGGATCCCCGAGGCACCCAAGATGCCCCCCAGACGTTCCAAGAGGCCTCGAAAAAACTTCCAAGAAACACCCGAGGAGGCTCTTATGTTCGTCCTGTTTTCCTCCTCCTCCTCCTCCTCCGTTTCCTCCTCCTCCTCCTCTTCCTCCTCCTCCCCCTCCTCCTTCTCCTCCTCCATATCCTCCTCCTCCTCCTCCTCCTCCTCCTCCTCCTCCTCCTCCTCCCCTCCTCCTCCCCTCCTCCTCCTCCTCCCCTCCTCCTCCTCCTCCTCCCTCCTCCCCTCCCCTCCTCCCTCCTCCCTCCTCCCTCCTCCCTCCTCCCTCCTCCCTCCTCTCCCTCCCCACCTCGGACGGCTTCCCCCGCCCTTTGTTCTTCTACATGCTCCCCCACTCCACTGATCACTCAACTCCCCTGGGCATTGTTTCTGGATGGGCGGATGGGCTGGTGAGGATGCGCGAAGCGTCAACAATAAACACCCTCCCCCGGGCGACCGGCAGCCAATCAGGACCAATGAGCACCCCCTCCCACTATCCCTAGCGAAAAACCTTGTGAAGTGTACTTTGACCCAACATCTTGGGTCATGATCGGGGTTGCCGCGAGCACCTTGTAGTTGTTCTGACAGAGACGGCGGGAGTGCCCGCATAGTGCCTGCTGCGCGCAGGGCCAGCACCCATGTCAAAACTACTTTGGCGGAAAGACCCCACATGAGATTATCTTTAGCTTGCCTGAGGATATCCTCTTGCTCCCTCCTCCTACACCCTCCTGCCTCCACCTTCTCCTCTTGCCTCATCCTCCTGCCTCCGCCTCTTTCTGCCTCCTCTTCCGCCTCCTCCTCCCCTGATCCTCCTCATTCTCCCCCTCCCCCTCCCCCTCCTCCTCCTCCTCCTCCTCCTTCTTCTCCTCCTCGTCCTCCTCCGCCTCCTCCTCCTCCTCCTCCTCCTCCTTCTCCCCCTCGTCCTCCTCCGCCTCCTCCTCCTCCTCCTCCTCATCCTCATGCTTCCTCCTGCCTCCTGCCTTCTCCTGCCTGCTGCTGCTGCTCATCCTCCATTTCTTCCATTTCCTCCTCCTCCTCGTCCTCCTCGTCCTCCTCTTCCTCCTCCTCCTCCTCCTCCTCCTCCTCCTCCTCCTCCTCCTCCTTCTCGCGCCGCTCGCTACCGGCCCACAGCGACCTAGATGCGCTAGGGGACCCCAGCTCGACAGGAGGGGCAGCCGCACGGACAGAGCTCACAGCCACCCATGGGTGGAGGTGGAAACGTTTTACTCACGGCGTTACGCTGGGATCGGCACCTTCTGCCAACGACTCCGCGGAGCCTTTCACAGCTTCGTGCCCAGAGTGTGCTTAACTTCTCAGCGCCAGCAAAACGCCGTGGCTGCACACAGGATGAGGGTTCACGGAAATCGGGAACCTGTGGCGTCCGTGCTCCCAGCAGGGGCTGCGCCTTGCCCTGCCTCTTCAGTGGACTTCGGGACCAACTGGCAACCTTTAGACCATACTCACGAGAATGCTCGCCAAGTTCCGAGAAACGATTCTCGCACTCTGATGTTTGTGTTCGTTCCTTTTGTCCTGCCGCACGACTTAGGTATACAGCTTCCGACTGTCTGTCTGTCTGTCTGTCTGCCTGCCTGTCTGTCTGTCTCTGTCGGTCTGTCTGTCTGTCTGTCTCTGTCTGTCTGTCTGTTTGTCTTTCTGTTGTCGGTCTGTTTGTCTGTCTGTCTGTCTGTTTGTCTGTCTGTTGTCTGTCTGTCTGTCTGTCCGTCCGCCCGCCCGCCCGCCCGTCTGTCGTCATCATCAGCATCATCATAATCATCATCGTCATCATCAGCAGCATCGTCATCATCAGCAGCAGCATCACCATCACCATCCCCATCATCATCATCATAATCATCATCATCATCATCATCATCATCATCATCATCAGCAGCAGCAGCAGCATCAGCATCAGCATCATCATCAGCATCATCATCAGCAGCATCATCAGCATAGTCGTCATCATCATCAGCATCATCATCAAAACCATCATCCTCACCATCACCATCATCGACATTATCATCACCATCATCATCAGCAGCAGCATCAGCATCAGCACCTTCACGACAATCATCATTAGCAGTATCATCATCACCACCATCATCAGTAGATTACTACCATCATCATATCAGCCAGCGTTGACTCCAAATAGATTAGACGACTCTAACCAAGGAATCAGAGGAGTCAAGCATGCGTGGAATCCGCAACTCAGCAAGCAAGCAAGCATGCAAGCAAGCGCGCAAGCAAGCAAGCAAATAAGCAAGCAAGCAAGCGTGAAAGCGCGCAAGCAAGCGAGCAAGCAAGCAAACAAGCAAGCAAGCAAGCAGGCATATGCATAGGCGTAGGCATAGGAGTGAGGGGGGAGGCATAGGCATAGGCGGCATGGGAATTGGGGGGGGGGGGGGGGGCAAAGGACCAATCGGAAGGGTTTGAGCTAGGGACCCTACAGGGCAAGCCTATTTGGAGAATAATCGTCATTGACATCTTCATCACCACACTCATCCTCATCCTCCCTCCCTGTTCCACGGTCACCCCCTCTTCATCCTCAACATCACATCAAGCTCATGATCATCCTCATCAGCACCATCAGCATCATCATCATCATCATCATCATCATCATCATCATCATCATCAGCATCATCATCATCATCATCATCAGCAGCAGCATCATCATCATCACCTCCGCAGCAGCAGATTCATCATCCTTAGCATAAGCTTCTTCATCTTCCTCATCATCATCATCATCATCATCATCATCATCATCATCATCATCATCATCATCATCCTCAGTATCATCATCGTCGTCGTCAGCATCGTCATCATAACCATCACCATCAGATCCATCCTCCTCCTCCTAAGCATCACCACCACCAAAACAATCGTCACCACCACCATCACCATCACCACCACCACCACCATCACCATCACCATCACAATCATCATGATCATCAACATCGTCAGAATCATCATCATCATCAGCATCAGCATCATCATCATCATCAGCAGCATCATCATCATCATCATCATCACCATCACCATCATCATCATCATCATCATCATCATCATCATCATCGTCAGTCGCATCATCACCATCATTATCACCGTCATCATCCTCATCATCACCAGCATCAGCATCAGCATCCTCATCCTCATCCTCATCATCAGCATCATCATCATCATCATCAGATGCATCTTCATCATCAGCATCAGCATCCTCATCAGCATCATCATCAGCATCATCAGCATCATCCCGCCTCCCCTTTCCTCCTCCCTCCTCATCTGCCGATCATTACGACGACGACGAAGGACGAAGACGACGACCACCATCACCACCATCACCACCACCACGACGACTACGACGCCGACGACGACGGACGACGGACGACGGACGACGGACGGACGACGGACGACGGCGGCTGGCGGCTGGCGGCGGCGGTGGCGCGGACGACGCAGCTGATGGCGACGACGACGGCGGCAACAGCGACGGAGGCGGTGATGGCGACGACGGCGGTGATGGCGACGACGGCGACGACGACGGCGACGGCGACAACCGATTCCCTGACCTCTCCTGCGGTGCGGTCAGCCCTGGATTGCGGGGCAGGCCCAGCTGTGGCCACGGCGGCCCCGAAAAGGCAGAAAAACATTAAAACCATGATCCACAGAGCTCCATCGATCGATAGATCGATGGAGCTCTGCCGACGACTCCCATGATCCTCGACCGACGACTGCGACGACGACGACGGCGGCAGCGGCCGCGGCGGCGGCGGCGGCGGCAGGCCAGCCTCCAGACACTGCGGCCGCGAAGTTGCAGCGGGGCCTGCGCATGGGGGCCAACGGACGCCACGCCTCGGCGGAGGCGGCGCTCCCTCCTCATTCCTCCTCCCTCCTCCCTCCTCCACCTCCTCCTCTCCTCCCTCCCACCTCCCCCCCTCCCTCCTCGCCCTCCTCCTCCCTCCTCCCTCCTCCCGCCTCCCTCCCTCCTCCCTCCCCTCCTCCTGCCCCTCCTCCCTCCTCTTTCCCTCCTCCCTCCTCACTCCCCCTCCTCCCTCCTCCCGCCTCCTCCGCCTCCTCCTCCTCCTCCTCTCCTCTTATCCTCCTCCTCCTCCTCCTCCTCCTCCTCCTCCTCCTCATCATCATCATCATCATCATCATCATCATCAGCAGCAGCAGCAGCATCATCATCATCATCATCATCATCATACTGATCCTCCTCCTCCGTCTCCTCATCCTCCTCCTCCTCTTCCATTCCTTCTCCTAAATAACTTCTCCCTGTCCCACCCCGAGGCAAGTGTTTAGGACGGACCGGGCGTTTCGCCTGAGACTTCCTCACCACTGATGACTCTGAAGCTTAAAGTGACAACAGCTTCACAGATGGAGGGCGGGAGGTGTTCAAAATGTGGCTCTCGCCTTAGCGCCGCGCACATTCGTTGTCAAAAATTGCAATAGCTTCACGGATGGAGGGCGGGTGGTTTTCAAAATGTGGTTCTCGCCTTAGCGTCGCGCACATTCGTTTTGAAAATTTGCAACAAGAGTTTCACGGATTGAGGGCAGTTCATTTTCAAAATGTGGCTCTCGCCTTATCGGCGCGCACATTCGTTTTCAACCTTCGCAATAGTCTCATGGATTCCCATGACCAACGTACCAGAAATTGCGTTTTGGAAGGATTCCGGATTATGCGGGCGCAACAGTTAGGTTGATTCGCGGTGTTTAATCCAAAAATGGCGCTCTGGCAAAATTTCCAGATCGTCAAGACGCAGCAGCCAGGTTGATACATGGCGCTGGAATCCCGAGAACGATGTTTTGGTATGCTTCGGGATCTTCAAGCGGTTGTCTTCTAACGAGGCAATTCCCTCAATGAAAATGAACCGTTGTGGGGGGCCTATGAAAAGGGAGCTTGGAGGGAGAGTTAATTCCAACATCGTTGATGACTCGTGGTTTTACACTGGTCCTACTCCTCCTCATCCTCCTCCTCATCCTCTTCCCCCGCCACCGCCTCCGCCTCCACCTCCTCCTCCTCCTCCTTCTCCTCCTCCTCCGCCTCCGCCTCCGCCTCCTCCTCCTCCTCCTCCTCCTCCTCCTCCTCCTCCGCGTGGCCTACCTCAACCTCAACCTCAACCTCATTCTCCTCCTCCTCCTCCTCCTCCTCCTCCTCCTCTCCTCCTCCTCACTGCCTCCCTCCTCCTCCTCCTCCTCCTCCGCCTCCTCTCCTCCTCCTCCTCCTCCTCCTCCTCCTCCTCCTATCCTCATCCTCATCCCTCCCTCCTACTCCTCCTCCTCCTCGTCATCCTCCTCCTCCTCCCCCCATCCGCCGCCCGCCTCCGCTCATCCCTCCTCCTCCGCCTCCTCTCCCTCCTGCTCGTCCTCCTCCTCTCTCCTCCTCTCCTCCTCCTCCTCCTCTCCTCTACCTCCGCCTCCTCCGCCTCCTCCTCATCCCCCTCCTCCCCCTCCTCATCCTTCTCCCCCTCCTGCCCCCCTCCCCCCCCCTCCTCCTCCTCCCCTCCTCCCCCTGCTCCCCTCCTCCCCCTCCTTCCCCTCCCCCCCCTCCTCCCCCCCCCTCCCTCCCTCCCCCTCCTCCTCCCCCTCCTCCTCCTCCTCCCTCCATCCTCCTCCTCCTCCTCCTCCACCTTCTCCTCCCTCCGCCTCCTCCTCCCTCCGCGTTCTCTTCCTCACCCTCCTCCTCCTTCGCCTCCTCCCATCCGTCTCTTCCTCTCCTCCTCCTCCTCCTCCTCCTCCTCCTCCTCCTCCTCCTCCTCCTCCTCCTCCTCCTCATCTGTCTCCTCTTCATCTTCCTCCTCCTCCTCCTCCACCTCGTCCTCCTCCTCCGTCTCCTCCTCCTCCTCCTCCACCTCTCCGCCTCCTCATCCTCCTCCTCCCCTCCTCCTCCTCCTCCTCCCTCATCCTCATCCTCATCCTCATCCTCATGCATCAGCATCAGCATCATCATCATCATCATCATCATCATCATCATCATCATCATCATCATCATCATCATCATCATCATCATCATCATCATCATCATCATCATCATCATCATCATCATCATCATCATCAGCATCATCATCATCAGCATCATCATCATCAGCATCATCATCATCATCAACAGCAGCAGCCTCATCATCAGCATCACCATCATCATCAGCATCATCAGCAGCAGCATCATCATCACCATCATCTTCATCATCGTCATCATCAGCATCATCAGCATCAGCATCATCAATGTCATCAGCATTATCAGCACTGTCAGCATCATCAGCATCATCAGCATCATCATCAGCATCATCATCATCAGCATCATCAACATCAGCATCCGCATCAGCATCAGCATCATCATCGTCAGCATCACCATCAGCATCATCAGCATCAGCATCATCAGCATCATCAGCATCATCATCATCATCATCAGGGACAGCAACCGCATCATCATCAGTAGCATCAGCATCAAAATAATCAGCAGCATCCTCATCGTCGTCAGTCTCATCATCAGCAGCATCATCAGCATCGTTTGCATTAGCATCATCATCATCAGAAGCAGCAGCAGCATCAGCATCATCACTATCATCAGTAACATCAGCATCAACATCATCAGCATCATCAGCAACATCATCATCGTCAGCAACATCATCATCATCATCCGCATCATCATCATCATCATCATCATCATCATCAGCAACATCATCATCATCTGCCTCATCATCACCATACAGCATCATCATCAGCAGCAGCAGCATCAGCAGCATCAGCATCGGCATCGGCATCAGCATCAGTATCGTCATCATCAGCATCAGCATCAGCATCATCATCATCATCATCATCAGCATCAGCAGCAGCATCAGCATCAGCATCAGCATCATCATCATCATCATCATCATCATCATCATCCTGATCATCATCATCAGCAGCACCACCATCGTCATCATCAGCATCATCGTCATCCCCCCCCCCCCATCATCCCCCTCCTCCTCTTCCTCCTCGCCTTCCTCCTCCTCCTCCTCCTCCTCGTCATCCTTATCCTCCCCTCACTCCTCCCCTTTCCCATCCTCCGCCTCCTCCTCCTCCGCATCTTCCTCATCCTCCTGCTCCTCCTCATCCTTCTCCGCCTCATCATCAGCATCATCATCACCACCAGCATCGAAACCAGGAAACATTCACATATACTAGATAAGCTAACCTAGTATAACACATTGATATGCACATTCACACACATACCTACCGACATACATACAGGGAATTAGATATATACCTATATCTACACACATGCATGCACGCATGCATGCACGCATGCATACATACATACAGACATGAATACATGCATACATATACGCAGCACATACATTACACACAGTACATGCATACATACGTACATACATGCAGGCATGCATACATACCTACACACATGCATACAAACATGCATACATACATGCATGCATGCATACATACAAACAGACAGGATGGCAAACAAGCAGACATACAGGCATACCGTAATACAGACATGCAGGCGTACAGACGTACAGACAGGCAGGCAGACAGGCAGAACAGACAGGTAGAAAAACTCAAAGCCGGAGAGACAGAAGACAGACATACATTCATACACACATACATACCTACATGCCTGCATGTCTAATGAGCTACCTACCTACATTCATACATCCATACATACAACATATATACATGCATGCATACACACATACACTCATACACACATGCATAGATGCATCCATGCTTAGTATCATAGATACGTAGACGTAGCGATGTCTACATACCTACCCCCAAACTTGCATACGTGCATACATACACACATACATTACATACATACATACATACATACATACATACATACCTACCTACCTACCTACCTACCTACCTACCTACCTACATACATACATACATACATACATACATAAATACATGCGCGCATACATGCATACATGCATGCATAGATATGTACATGCATGCATGCATACATACGGGCATACATACATAACACGTGACCGATAGACATACATACACACAAACACCCATACATACATGCATGCATACAAAGATACATGCACTCATACGTACGTACATACGTGCATTGTACATAGGTATATACATGCATGCATGCATGCATACATACATTCATACAAGCATGCATACCTACCTGTATACAGACACGCATGCATACATATATGCATACATACATGTGTGTACGTATGTACGCGTACGTGTACACATCCAAGCATACCTGCATGCATGCATGCATGCAAACATGCATGCATACAGTCGGACGGACAGACAGACCTACATACATACGTGAATACTTCCATACCTACATATAGATGTACAACCATACATACATGCATACATGAATGCATGCGTACATACACGCATCCGCGCATACACACATACACCCATACACCAATACAACCAAAAAACACACATACATACATGCATGCATGCATACATGCATACATACATATCTACATACATATATACATACATTCATACATTCAGTCACCCATGCATGCATGCATACATATACACATACATACATATATATATATATATATATATATACATGCATGCATACCTGCATACATGCATACATGCACGCCTGTACAGATATGTACATGCATGCATACATACACGCATACAAACATAACAACTGGCTGATCGGCATACATACATACAAACAACCAAACACACATGCATACATACATACATGCATGCAAACATGCATGCATTCACACGTACGTACGTAAATACGTGCATGCGTACATACGTACATACATGCATGCATGTATACATACATGCATACATACACAAATACACGCATACAAACATACATGTATGCATACATGCATGCATATATGTATGTATAAATATACATACATGTGTTCATACATTATTTCATGCATTCATACATACATGCATATATACATACATGCATGCATGCATACATACATATATATATATATATATACATACATACATACATACATACATACATACATACACACGTAGATATATACACGCGCGACTCGCGCGCGCTTAGATTCTGGCCGCTAGCCCAGGCCAAGCCTAAGCCATATCAATCAACGGATGGGCACGCACTCCACCCCACCACGATCACCATAGGGCACGGCAGCGCAGAGCACTCGGCAGAGGCAATCCGCACGCACGTCCAAGCAACCTGGGCGAAGGTATCACGGTCACCCTACAGGAACCCTGCGAAATAAACATCAACGCGGGAGAGGAAGAGGAATACGGGAGGGGGAGGAGATGGGGAAGGAAAAGGAAAACGGGCAACAGGGAGCGGCCTCGGCTCCGACGTCGTAGCTCTCCGCGGAGGCCAGCGCGGTGCCGTCCTCGTCGCAGCCGCCGAGCACGTACACGCGGCTGCCTCCCCAGAAGGGCGAGGCCCCCTCCGAAAGCAAAGCCAGGACCAGGACAATACAGAGCTGGACCTTAAACGTTGTGTTTCATGTTGTGTTCGTTTTGTTGTTCGTTTTGCTCTACCTGGTTTTCTGTACCTCCATCCCAAAACGAATTACCCTGCGACGTACCCAACCCATTTGTAGCATGGGAAACGAAGAGTTGGCCGAAACTTGCACGGACAATCAAATTGCAGGACCCGGTGTTTGATATGTAAGCTACTTGGGACAAGCTCAGCAGCCCTCGAAAGTGGCGACAGTTTCACAGATCGCAGCCCCCAGCAGCCCTCGAAACGCAGCGACGAGCGAGGTAAGAAAGTGGCGACAGTTTCACAGATCGCAGCCCCCCAGGGATGGGGAGGTCCCATTTGAATCCGCCGTGGGTACCCACTGTGCTGGGCCCCCCAGCTGGCCTCGAAAGTGGCGACAGTTTCACAGATCGCAGCCCCCCAGGGAAGGCGAGGTCACATTTGAATCCGCCGTGGGTGCCCACTGTGTTGGGCCCCCCAGCTGGCCTCGAAAGTGGCGACAGTTTCGCAGATCGCAACCCCCCAGGGATGGCGAGGTCCCATTTGAATCCGCTGTGGGTGCACACTGTGCTGGGCCCCCCAGCAGGCCCCGAAAGTGGCGACAGTTTCGCAGATCGCAACCCCCCAGGGATGGCGAGGTCCCATTTAAGTCCGCCGCGGGTGCACACTGTGCTGGGCCCTCCAGCAGGCCTCGAAAGTTGCGACAGTTTCGCAGATCGCAGCCCCCCAGGGATGGCGAGGTCACATTTGAGTCCGCCGCGGGTGCACACTGTGCTGGGCCCCCCAGCAGGCCTCGAAAGTGGCGACAGTTTCGCAGATCGCAATCCCCCAGGGATGGCGAGGTCACATTTGAGTCCGCCGCGGGTGCACACTGTGCTGGGCCCTCCAGCAGGCCTCGAAAGTGGCGACAGTTTCGCAGATCGCAGCCCCCCAGGGATGGCGAGGTCTCATTTGAGTCCGCCGTGGGTACCCACTGTGCTGGGCCCCCCAGCAGCCCTCGAAATTGGCAACAGTTTCACAGATCGCAGCCCCCCAGGGAAGGCGAGGTCACATTTGGGTCCGCCGCAGGTGCACACTGTGCTGGGCCCCCCAGCAGCCCTCGCAAGTGGCGACAGTTTCGCAGATCGCAACCCCCAGGGATGGCGAGTTCCCATTTAAGTCCGCCGCGGGTGCACACTGTGCTGGGCCCCCCAGCAGGCCTCGAAAGTGGCGACAGTTTCGCAGATCGCAGCCCCCCAGTGATGACGAGGTCCCAGTTGCGTCCGCCGCGGGTGCACACTGTGCTGGCCCCCCCAGCAGGCCTCGAAAGTGGCGACAGATTCACAGATCGCAGCCCCCCAGGGATGGCGAGGTCACATTTGAGTCCGCCGCGGGTGCAGACTGTGCTGGGCCCCCCAGCAGCCCTCGAAAGTGGCGGCAGTTTCACAGATCGCAGCCCCCCAGCTGGCACGCAGCGACGAGCGAGGCAAAAGGCAAGGGGGAAGAGAGGGACGGGAGGGGGTGGGAAGGAGACGCGCGAGCAGTGCTCTATTCAAAACGAGAACCCAACGCAGGAGGGTTGGGAAAAAAAACAAATTACCTTGTGACGTACCCAACCCATTTGTAGCATGGGAAACGAAGAGTTGGCCGAAACTTGCACGGGCAATCAAATTGCAGGATCCGTTGTTTGATATGAAAGCTACTTGGGACACGCGCCAATGGCATGATGCACAGGAGAACCATACAAGAACGAGGGGCGACAACTACAGGCTCGAAGAGGACATGGGGACTCGGGAACGAAGAGCAGGAGAAAAACGTGCTGGAAGCCCACTGTGATGTGCCCCTCAGCAGCCCTCGAAAGTGGCGACAGTTTTGCAGATCGCAGCCCCCCAGGGATGGCGAGGTCTAACCTGAGTCTGCGGTGAATACCCACTGTGCTGGGCCCCTCAGCAGCCTTCGAAAGTGGCAACAGTTTCCCAGGTCGCAGCCCCCCAGGGATGGCGAGGTCTAATATGAGTCTGCGGTGAGTACCCACTGTGCTGGGCCCCTCAGCAGCCCTCGAAAGGGGCGACAGTTTCACAGATCGCAGCCCCCCAGGGATGGTGAGGTCCCATTTGAGTCTGCGGTGAGTACCCACTGTGCTGGGCCCCTCAGCAGGCCTCGAAAGTGACGACAGTTTCACAGATCGCAGCCCCCCAGGGATGGCGAGGTCACATTTGAATGTGGCGACAGTTTCACAGATCGCAGCCCCCCAGGGATGGCGAGGTCCCATTTGAGTCTGCGGTGAGTACCCACTGTGCTGGGCCCCTCAGCAGCCTCGAAAGTGGCGACAGTTTCACAGATCGCAGCCCCCAGCAGCCCTCGAAACGCAGCGACGAGCGAGGTAAGAAAGTGGCGACAGTTTCACAGATCGCAGCCCCCAGGGATGGCGAGGTCTAACTTGAATCCGCCGTGGGTACCCACTGTGCTGGGCCCCCCAGCAGGCCTCGAAAGTGGCGACAGTTTCACAGATCGCAGCCCCCCAGGGATGGCGAGGTCCCATTTGAATCCGCCGCGGGTGCACACTGTGCTGGGCCCCCCAGCAGGCCTCGAAAGTGGCGACAGTTTTACAGATCGCAGCCCCCCA